ACACACACACACACACACACACACACACACACACACACACACACACACACACAGTGAACAGATAACAGAAATTGCTCATACGCCACATAGTCCCCACTCGAAAAACCAACTTTTACAACTGTTGCAGTCATGAATAGTTGACTAGCGACTCACGTAACAAACTTCACATTCAAATTACATATAAAAATGGTTAAGGGACTGCAGTAAATATGTGACTAATAGATACCCTGGCGGCAGTTGCTGGAAATTCATAAATTCCCATATATAATATATGCTTATTTTTCTTAAGCCTTTGAATATAAACTCTACTATCCCTCTTTTAAAATTTAGTGTCCATCATATTTTTAATACACTCTTCATTACTACTATTTACAGGGTATATTATCAGTTATTGATAGTTACATATAAGGCAAAAGTCCGACTGCCCAAGCGCCTTCACTCACAATTCTATTAGTTCTTTATCTTTTGGCTGGCTTTTCGGTCCGGCGCTTGCTTGGTCGTTCGCTCGCTCACTCCCATTGCCCTTCGCTCATAAAATATGAAAGCGCAGTGAAATTTATTCAGCTCGACCAACATGAAATATGCGCATTCAGTTTATGAAGCCGATTGGCCCCCAGCGAAATGGACGCTGGCGGCCATGGTCGGATTGAAAGTTAAAGTTGAAGTTGGATCTGAGGTTGAGGTTGAGTTTCAGTTTCAGTTTGAGGCCAACTCAGATGGGGCAAGTACCACGCACACACACACACGCACACACACGGATTAGCCCCGCTGCAATCACTGGCTGCTCACTAATTGCGCTGCTCTAAGAGCTATAAAGTCGGGCCACGCATTAATCGCTGTCACGCCCACTGGCCCACGCCGTCCAGCCTCGCATCGATTCAATAATTCATAGCCCTGCACACATTGACGACACGTTTCTTGGCAATAAAATGAAGATGAATAAAATGGGAAAAAAAAGAAACGAAATGAGAAATGAAAAATGAGAAATGAGGAAAATGCTGCAAATGCTCGACAATAATTTAGCGCGTCTGCCAGGTTCTGCTTCTGGTTTCTGTCCAGGACTTGGTGTTGGGTGCCTCATCGACCTGCTGCCTGGGCCTGAACATGAAATGACTTTATCAAAGCGGACTTCGCTGCTCTCTCGGTTACACTCATTCACTGGCATAGTTACATATACATAGATACAACTATATACGCACACACACGCATACATAGGCACACTCATTCACATGTACATATACGTGTATATAAAATGAATGTCAGGCGCCAACATTGGCAGCAACTGTCGCAAAATTTCCTTTGCACTTATTTTTATTTTTTTTGAATACTCTTGCTTGTGGTATTTCAGTGGAGGCATTGATTGTGTTTGATAAGATGATTAAAATTGTTTAAATATCAGGAATATATAAAAACATCATAACATATAAACATCTTAAGAAGTTGTAGAGATAAAATATATGGGCTTACTTGATATTGTGATCTATATATATTAAGCTCAATCAGCCACTCAGTCAATCAGTCAATCAAAGGAATTCTATGTGATTTATTTAGGTCTGTTGATGTTTAATTTCATAAATATACAGATTGGACTTTTATGAAAGTTCTTATATATATACATTTTTAAAATCTCTATGAAAGTGCATTCACTATTCGTCTATCTACAGTTGATTTTTCTACTTGTTTTATTTGTTATTTTGTTGTGGGCTATCTTTGTGATTTTTTTGTATTTTTATTTTTTTTTTTTTGCTCTTGCTTCCGATTATGTCGTGCAGCTCTGTGAGTGTCCTTTGATATTGGGACGAGCCGTGAAATATTGCTGTAAGTGTATGAATGTTTGTGTCTGTAGGTACATACAAATGTGTGTGTATGTCTGTGTGTATAAGGTTACACTGAAAAACTACTGAACAGTCAATTCATTGCTTTAAAGCTAAGTAATATACAAAGTAATATTAATTAATATTAAAGAAATAATTTAAATAGCTTTCATAATTATTTGCATCCACTTAATGAAGTTGTATACTGTTAATGTTCATCACGTTGTATATATAAAGCCATTAATTCAGCTTGAACGGAATTCATGTATTATGAATTTCAGAGAGCTCCCAATTCCCTCAGATGATTAGCCCCTTGGCAACAATTAAGACGCAAGCCCATTTGAGCTGCGTAGCTGACGTGAGCCTTGGGGTCAGCTAATTGGAGCTGTGCGTTGACGCAGCTTTAAGTTGTGAAGGACACGACACGGCAGGATATGTAAAACAGGCTTGTCAAACGCGAGTAAACAATTGATTTCACATTACAGAAAAATGACAATCCAGCAGCAAACGGCAGACTGCAGACAGCAGACGACAGCTGGCAAACAGGCAAATGCTGATAACGTGGCCAACTGGAAAATCAATTAAAGCGCAGGCCAACAAGCACAGGCACTGACTGGTATATGCTGGGGGAGTTGTTGTCTATGTGTGGTGTGTGTGTGTGCGTGTGTGTGGCAGCTTTATGGGTGACTTAATGCGCGTCACTGCCCAGACTAGTCTGTCCTTTAGCTTGTGTCTCCCTCTTGTAGGGGAAGCAAAACTTAATTATCAGCGTCGGATGTGGCGCTGCATGCAACGGAAATGTGTGTTTGCACACACGCCGTCCCGCCCCTTCGTCATCCGCCTTCCCTATGGCAGCAGCAACAGCACCACTTGACGCCGCCAAACACGCCTCGGCAATTTTAAAACATATTTCACTTGAGTGCACTGCCTTTGCCAGTCCAAGTAAAAATGTCCTCGCTGGGCGGGGTCGGGGAGAAGAGAAGTGGAGAAAAATGTGAAAAATCGGCCAAAAGGTAAATGGAAGTGGGGTAAATGGCAAATGGAAAATGAGAAATGAGAAATGAAACATCAACTGCGACGAACCATAGTAATTAATTTAAAAAGACCTTCGTTGATTTAATGATGCAAAAAATGCGTATAATTCATTAACAATATGAAATGCGCATTCAATTATTTTAAATGCGCCATTTGTAGCTGCAGTATCATTAAATTTCAGCTTAAGCGAGACAATGATATTGTAATATATGAGAATGAATATTGATAAATAACATTTTATGTGTGTATACAAAAATATTAATTTAAATAAAATTCACTCTGATATCAGCTATCAATGAAACAGCTTAATTTAGTACATTTATTTTTATATATATTTATATATCTGTTACATATTTATTTATAGTCTGATATCAGCCTTAACTCTGAGATAATCTTCATCATTCAACTTCTCTTGCGCTCTTAAAGTTTCGCTTCATCTGCTACATACTTGACCTAATAAATTTCAACTGCTTGACATATATGAGAGCCATACTACTCATATGCGAAATTTGTGCAGCTTATGTACTTCAATTATGTGTACTTCACCCACTTATGTGGCTTGCGTTTGCAACACTCGTGCCTTATGATTATGCCACTTGAAACCGTTTATTATCTCCTTTATTAGAGGCGAATAGAGTGCAACTGAATACACAGATAGACACAGATAGATTGTGTAAGCAATTGTCAGTCATAAAATACAAATTTTCATACAGTTGTCGTAATGAATAGTTGAATCACGAGCAAATCGTTTGAAATCACTCACAAAATATTTTTACCCTAAGCTAGTTACTTTTCTATATCTATATATCAACTACTATACATATTGTATTCACTTGAATTGGTAAGCACAAGAAGGTATACTATTGCTGTACTATAGGTACATATTTTCGCTGTACGGCTTAGTCGAACTTATTGATAATATAATCTTATAAAACTACTCTCTCTAACACAGCAATTTTGTACCACAATTTAAGGCTTAGTTTTGTTCACTCTAATAAAATACTTACTCAGCTCAGTAAGGTATATGAAATGCTCAGAGCTTGTTTACTCTGAGAAAGGTGACGCCCACACATAATTAAACAGCACTCACTTCTACTCACTCTGCAGCAGGTAGATATTATGAGAACTGAGTTACACCTAGCTTTTATTGGTTACTGTCTCTTGGCTATGTTCTACTCAATGCTCCGAAAAGAATGACTCACCACTCCAACTGTGGTATATACGTAGCTAATGACACTTAGAGTAGTAAAAGTAGTAACTTTGTCTGTGTCAAGTTATTATCTATTTCTTTTGCACTCTGACCTAGCTTCTACTATTCTCGCCCTCGGTCACGAGTGGTTATAATGAATACAACTACTCTATTTGTCTTCACACACACAACTCTACTATACTCATTCGCTTTTCCACGCTTTACTAGTCTATCACGCTCCCACACACAACTAGTTTATAAGGCTCCCACACATAACTACTCTAACTCCCTCGCAATCATAACAACCTTTTCTCTCTCCCACACATACATAATCTATCTATTTTCTCAAGCACTCTCCAACTCAGATAAATAACTAATACGCTCTTTTTTAATCAATGACTACTCTCTGCTATCCTTTCTCTGTATCTCTCTACCTCTCTCTATTCTGTCTCTATCTCTCGCATAACTAGTCGCATTCATCAAATTTCATTCAATTGGGAGTTTTCCAAATATGATTATTTCACTTTCTTTTACTTCCGCAATTATCAGAGATATGATCTCTTCTTCTTCTCTCCAGTTCAAAGCTGAAGTCTTGGCCAATTTTTATTGGTTTGCATGCGTAGCTTACCTCGACTAAAACCAAAGCCTGTCGTCGACCCAGAGGCCGTTGTATCGAGTGCCACGCGACGTGGCGACGCACTTATCTCGCGCTGGCTGCTGTGATTGCTGTTCAGCTGCATTTTGTTGTTAAAGTTGCTCGAAATGGTGTTGGCACGTTGGCCGTTGGCGGTGCGCTGCTGCTGGTGCTGGTGCTGAAGCTGGTGGTGTGGCATGTATTGTTGCTGTTGCATAGATCGTGCTGCATGCCGCTGCTGGCCAACAGCTGCTGGCATGCTGGCAGCTGTCGACTGCCACAAACTATCCGTGCGGTCCGATATCTTGAGGCCGTTTCCGATTTCAATCTCAATTTCAAATTCAATTTCAATTTGCAATCGCAATAGTAATTGCAATTGAATGTGCAAATTTTTGTGGTGCAATCAGTGAACAATTTGTGTGCTTAAACATAGATAAATACATACATATGTATGTATATCTTCTTATGGAGCCAGTGCTAATTGCCACAAGTTGCCGCAACCGAAAGTTGCTCCGAAAACTTTTCGTTTATTTAAGTTGCGCTTTAAGCAACGCTCGAATGCTTTACCAGCCAAGAACTCTATTAAAAACTTTTGGTGCCCCACACAAACTTTGAGTCCGAATGCACTCGCAATTTATTTAAATGAGCACAGCAACAAAGGCAATTCCATAAACAGAGCTGGGAATTCTAGTTCGGTTTTGTTAATCTGTTGTTGCAGGCAGGGTTCGCAGGGCTCGTAAGGCTCAGTAAATCAGTTATTGCAGCATATAATGAACGATTTATGGGTCACAATCGTTGCAGCTTGTGCCTTCAGTTTAATCAATAGCTAAACAAGTCCTCAATACATTAACTTTTGCATTTCAATTAAATCGAGGGCATAGAAATCACTGAATAGACTCATTGGCCCATTTAAAGGGAGCTATTACTCCCTTCGCTGTACCATTAAACACAACTCTAATTAAATCGCACAACAGTTTCGCTTACTCAGAATCGCCTGACTGCTGCGGCTGTTCATGCTCATGTGCAGGCAAAAACCACGCAGAAACTAATTTAAACAAAATTAAATTGTAGGCAGCGGAGCGTCGAAGTTTCGTTCACTTTGTTTTAATATGAATATTTTGTTTTTGTTTTTAATTAAATTTTGTATTTTGATTTTCTTTTATTTATATTTTTTTAAGTTTTTTTTTTATGCACTTGAAAGCGTTTGCTTGGTTGCAGTTGCTGCAGCGCTCGCCGTGCGCTGACCACCAGCTTTGTTTATAGACGAGTCCCAACTGAACTGAACTCTAGTGTTATTTAATTTATTTATTGCCTACATAGGTAGGGTGCCGAGTAGCGCTCGAATGGCCCCATGCTCAAACATTGCATGTCCTGCTCAGGCTTTGCGTAATGTACTGTGCGCTGTGTCCGCTCGTTGGTCACGTACAATGGCCGAACGGATGGCGGGCTGGGAACGGAGAGGGCGGGTCTCCTGGTACTTTGATGAACGACCAATTTGCGGAATTGGACAGCTATGGACATGTTAATAGCTCGAATGCCTAGAACGTTTCCCTTGCGAAGATTTGGCTGCACGCGCGGCCATACGTTTTGAGCTCAAGGATGCAGGATATGCACTGTCGCAAAAAAACGGAAAACAGCCTCTCGGTTATGTTAAATGCCAAAAGCAGCTTTTGTGTCTTTCTATCAGCCTCGAGCTAGATACGATATGGTGTACCTATATATACATATATATATATATATATACTCGTTTATCTATACGATGCGATAGATGAGAATGGCATAAACCACATCAACTGAGAGCCGAGCAACTGTAATTGTAAGCGAACCTTGCGGCATGCCGCACCGCCCGCTTCGGCATGCTTCATTATGTTCGACTTGGACTTGGTCACAAAAGTCAAGTAAAAGCCAGGCCAAGTTGCAGGTGGCTGCTGGCTGGTGGCAAGCGGCAAGTAGGCCATTTTGTGCATGTTCTTAGGACACACTGAGCTGAAAGTATTTTGACTTTCAACCGGTTGCTCCCGTGGGCCGGCATAGCAAGTGAAAGTCATGCAGAGACTCTTGACTCTATTTTGTCTCACTCTCTCTGCCCCTTTCGCAGTCACTCTCTCTGTCTGTCTTGGTCTCTCTTTCGTTGTTGGCATTTACATGCTTGCATAAACCTGAATATTTCATAATGCGCCACTGCCACCTCTGTATACATTTGAAAGCCCGCTGTCGACTCGTTATCGTTGAGCCTGCTCAAAAATTGAATTGTAAATATTTAAGTAGCTGCGTTTTTATTTTATTCTTTAGCAGGCGTTGAGTGAACTTGAGAAACTTAGTGTAAATAACAAGGTATTTATTTAAGTGGCACCTGAGCATTCAATTGTTAAAGTTGAATTGCTCAAGACCCATTTCAGTGTTAAAGTAGACTACCTAGACGTCCGCTTAAGGCATTATTGAGATAATGAAAAAGGAAGGGAAAGAGAGAGAGATCTATCTCTCTAGAGATTAAGAGACAGAGAGAGAGAGAGATAGTAAGGGGAGATGAGTAAAGATACTGCGGGAGTGAGAAAGTGAAGGTAGGGGAGACAGAGAGAGAGAATAAGAGAGAGAGAGAGACAAAGATAACGAAAAAGATGGAGAAGAGAGAGAGAGAGAGATAGAGAGAGAGAGAGGAAGAGAAATGAAGTGAGAAGGGAGAGCAAACGATAACGAGAGAGAAAGAAAAATATATTGGGAGATAGAGAAGGAGATAGAGAGACGATTCAACTATAGTGAATGAGAGAGACACATAGAGAGAGAGTACAGAAGCCAGAGAGACAGAGTAGCCAAATATGTTTTATAGAGAGAGAGAGAGAGAGAGAGAGAGAGAGAGAGTGAGAGGGAGACAGAGAGAACGAGAGACAGACAAATAGAGACTGAGAGATAGGCGCATTTATTATCAATTTATTAATTATAGATAAAGAATTGAAACGTAAATATTAAAATTCAACAGTTTACATTTCAAACTATAATAATTTAATATTTATTGCCACCAAACATAATTTAATTCATTTAAAATTCAATAAAAACTCGCCCATTAAAACAGAGAAACCTTTTTGTAAGCCATTGCAAGAAAGACAAATGTAGAAATGTAAATAACAACACATTGTCCGCAGCTCCATTACATTAAGGATAACGAGCAAAAAATGCACGTGCAATTAGAATAAATTACTTTAATTAGTTGTTTGTGCTGTGGCCATTTACCGGACAGCTGGACAGCTGGACAGCCGGACAGCCTGTCTGCCTGTCTGCTAGGCGACAAGGGATACGTGCCACCAGTCGTTAAGCTGGCACCACCTAAGCCACCTGAATCACCTGAGTTTCCATTTTATTTGCCCATTTCAGCTGAATGCATTGCCAATAAACTGCGCAGTCCTTATTGGCACAATCTTATTGGATACGGCGGTGTCCAGTGTTGGTTGACCTATGCTTGCCATGGCAACAAGTTGCACGTTAACGCGACGGCACAGTCGATACACAGCTACACAGCTACAGCAATGACTATGACGATGGCTATGGCTATGGCTATGGCTATGGCTATGACTGTGCATCTCTCTGTAATATACGTCAGTCTAGGAGTAATTACGTATACGCCCTGTTGCACCGTGGCGCCACTTGTGCCCATTTTGGTGCTCAACAACGACGCCTTTTGTGCGTCAAATTAACAACTTCCGCATGAGGCCACATGCCACTTGCACCCAAATGCGTCATTCTCTATGCTTTGCTCCATTGTGTTCCAACGGAGACAGATACAGACGAACGGACAGAGGGCCGGGTGGAAGAGCAGACATAGATAGTGGCGCAGGCCACTTTGGCCATATTGTCAACGCTTGGCCAGCTGCCAGCTGAAGACGTTGACTAACACTGGCAGAGCCTATTATTGCGCTTTAATGGCAGCTAAAATGGCAGCAGCTTAGCAAACTGAACTCAACGCGGCTCGACTCTAGATGGCAGACTGCAGTCTGCCTCGGAAAGAGGACATTAATTAATAAGGACCTTTTAAGCTGGCATTTAAAACAAGCCGCGCATTAATCAAAGCAACATCTTTTCAGCAGAAAAGTTTTGCAAGACACCAAAACATCTAAGAGAATATATTAAAAATGTTTAAATACATACAAGTTTATTTTAAACTATTTTTATACATTTAAATGCCAACTAAATAAGAGAATATTTTAAATATTTTTATTTATATATTCCACTACTTAAATGGCAGTTAAATGCTTTTTGAATTCGCAATCTTTTCGCAGTTTGAATCCCATTCAAATACCTCTTGCATTGAGATGCAATTGCTTCAATGGTTTCTTCTCTGAGCATTCGCTTTGTAACACTTCAAAATTTCTACAAATTCCATTTATATCTAAATCGCAACTTTCGAGCAGCCAAAAGTTGTGAACAATTTGTGTGCCTGAAGCCTGCTTCAAATTTAAAGCATTTGCCAAGTGAGAGACACTGCCAACAAAGTGTCGAAAGGAACGACTAGAGCATATCATATAAATAGTATAGAAATGCAGAAAATTGACTAAAATGTGAATAGATATATCTTTATATATTGGCAAAGTTGATATACAAAAAATAATATCAGGCTTAAGCTAAGACTGCAAATTTATAAAGAAAATATTTTGTGAAGCAATTCTCAAGAGTTTTCTGGAGCTCCCTCCAGAAATAACAAATTCATTCTTAGTTTTCTTGCACATTTTCCAAACACATCCATTTTAATATATTATTTTAGCACTTACTTCTTGTGTAGCCTTTAACAAGTTTTTATTGCTGGGTATTAGGCAAAATCAAATATAATAAAATATTCGAATCTAAGCATGACATAAAAGATAAAAAATGACTGTCGTTTATCTTGGAAATTCATAAGCGACTGCCCAGCCAGACCAGATATTTGCTGGCACATCTCGAGAATGAGAGAGGGAGAGAGAAAGAGAGACAGAGGGAGAGTGGGAAAGCAAAACGGAAGACTAAGTGAAAAAGCCGACGAAAAGTTTTGCAGCTAAATGCAAGTGGGTATATAGCATTATACAGTGTGTGCTTGATTGTTTTTTTATGATATTTTTTTTTTTTTTTCATTTTGTATTTGAGGCTTAGCCGCTTTTCTTAAGTTTTGCCAAGGCTCTGCCCCCTTGAGTCAGTCGGTGCATTGAACTAGACGCTGTGCTGTGCCATCTAGCTGTTCCTTCTTGGTGCTCGATTGGTTGGCAGCCAACGCCACGGGCCGAGCCTTGGCTGCGCTTTGTGTTTGTCTTTGCGGCCGCAGTTGACAAAGTAAAGAAAAGCGAGAGATAGACACAGAGAGAGAGAGAGAGAGAGAGAGGGAGGGTGAGGGGTTAGCGGGTCAGCAAAGTGGAACGTGGAGCGAGCACCGTGGAAAGTCTCGCAATTTTAATTTCTTTTATTTTGGCCATCTGTTTGTTGGCCTGTGTTTTGTTTAGCCTGCAATTTATTTGTTTTACTTTTGGTTTCGTTGCGTTCGCTGCGAAATGAGTGGACAAGAGTATCAGCTGCCAACTGCCAGCTGCCAGCTGCTAAAATCCAACTTGATGCTAAATTAGAGACCTAAATAGTCGAACGGGTGGGTCATTGGGGGCATTGGGAGCTGAGGTAAGGGCGAGGCCAAAGGGGCAGGCTTTAATTAACTAATGATGAAAAATGCTCGAGCATTCTGTTCTGCATTGTCAGCTTTGTGATACCCTAGCGCTCAGTTGACAACAGAGTTGATTGGTTAGTTAGGCAACGAAGGAATACAGAAATGAGCAATGGTAACGAAACGAAGACAGGTGGACAAAGAGAAACATAAATGAAATATTAATTGAGAGAGAGAGTGATAGAAAAAGGGGAATACAAACAAGATGGGAGACGAGGTTGAAAAAACGGCGAGAGGGATTGGGGGTGGGATATTGAGAATGGGACAGAAAGATTCAAGAATTATGAATATGAGAAGAGAAGCTCTCTAGAGAATGAGAGACAGACCTGGAGAGAGAGACAGACAGAGAGAGGGGGAGAGACTTCAGGAGATAGAGGGAGAGGGAGAGAGAGACTTAAGGAGATACAGAGAGAGAAAGAGAGAGAGAGAGAGAGGGAGATATTGATATATGGAAAGAGTTAGAGGATAGACAAAGAATAGCAAGACAGAGAGAGGAGGGGATAGAGACGCGAGAAAGTGATGGAAGCAGGGGAGACAGTGAGAGACTAACAATTTAAGGTCAAGGATCAAGCTTCTTTACGCTAAGGAAGGGGATATATGGGACTATAAAGATAAGGCACAATTAAATTAACCCACTTACATATACACATACATCATGTATATACCTCTACAGGGTATCTCTAGGCTCTATTCTTGGCTAAATTTCATTGCTTGCCCTCGCTGTTATTTGCAGGTCGCACTGGTCATTAAAGTCGAGTGCAGATGATGGTTTATGTGTGTTCTGTTATTACGAGCAACTGGAAAGCGTCAAATGAAGATGTCGCTTGTCCGCCTCTGTGTGTGGACAAACTTATCATGATATAGTCATCGCTTCGGCCTTAGGCCAAGGAAGATACACACAGCAAGCGAGAGAGAGAGAGAGATATAGAGATAGAGAAAGGGAGACAGACTCAGACCAGCTGAAACAAACATCAAGTATACGCCTCAGAGCACAGTTAAGCAAGCAAAATCTCTGCGCTCGCTCGGCCGCAAGACGCAACTTTATGGTTGCAAAGCACTTAGCAAATGTTAGCCTAATGTGTTGTGCACACACACACAAACACACACAGACACACATCCCCTCGCACACATACACAAAGTTTACACACTTTATGCACAGAGAACATGATTTAGTTATGTAAATGCACTTTGTAACTTGGATTTTGGCTAAACTAATTCAATTGCAAATCAAAAACGCAATAGGAAATCAAATGAATATTGCAAATTCATTGAATATTTATACTTACAGTCGGCGAATACACACACACACTTACGCACGTGTATTCATTGTGTAATTTACGTAATTAAATGCAAAATATTTATAGTATTTAAATTTAAATTAGTTTTTAGGACTCACCAAGTCTACGTACTACAGATGAGCGAGAGAGTTGTGAGAGAGAAGCGGTTGTTTTTTTTTTTTTTTTTTTTATTTATTTGCATTTTGGTTAGTTGGTTAGTTGTTATTTTTAGTTGGTTGATGATGCGTTTTTGTTATTTGTTTGTTATGCAAATTTGTACAGAGAGCGTTTTCCAAATTCGGCGAATTTGTTGTTGGGCAAGCAACATGAAATGTTTACGTTTGAAGTTAGTTGAAATTATTTATTTATATATTGCATATATGTATAGCTAGATATCATCTATTTGTAATGCAATATTAGCAAAACTATAACTAAGTCTCTAATGCATGCAGGCAGTGCATGCTGGGCACAACGGGAAGGGAATGAGCGACGGGGCGAGGGCTGGGGGAGCATGTGTACTACGGCTAAGCGAAATGTGAAATGCTATTTATTTGCCGACTGCTGCGACTGCGGAATTAAACTATGTCAACTGCAAAGCCAGTAGGTCAGGGATAGTTAAATACTCCCATGCAAAGAAGCCAAAATGCAGCGCAGCGCAGCAGCCGTCGCAGAAGCAGTTACCTTTTCTATATATATATATATGTTGGCTCTTTGGGGGGGTGTTGGATTTACTTTTTTTTTTTTTTTTTGTTGGTGAGGTTGGCTGTTTTTGGTTTTTCTTGAACGATACGGGGTTCGGGTGTTCTACACACAACATACACATGTTCATACATATACGCATACATACATATAAATATATTTGTATTAAAATATATATATATATGTATATATATGTATATGTATGTATATATATTCATTGAGAACTGACACACTTACTTTTCATGATGCGATTTCGGTATTCATCGTCGCGCTGCATGGTCACGCTGCCGCCACCGTTGGAGACCATCGAGCTCACTTGTTCCATGGGCACAATATCCTGGAAGAGATCAAATAAGAGCCTGCATGAGTTGACAGTCGAGATGTGATGAGCAGTTGCTTCTGTTTACTTAATAAATATGCTCATATTTTTTATAAATTATATATCATAGTAATTATCTTCTTCTGAATCCGTATTTCATTACGAGACTCCCGTTTACACTTCCTTTACTCCTCAAAAATAACACTTCACAAATATACCCTCTTCAACACTTTTCCCTGGGTACAATAATAACTCTGAAATATCTTTGCGCAAAACATATATGAGTTTTCATTGGAAAAACTTTTGGCTGCTGTGCACAAATTTGTCCGAGTTTGTTGCGAAGTTGCGCACTGTCCGCTGCCGCTGGCAAGTTGTGGAAACTTAATTAGCAGCGTGTACGGCAGCCAAATTGCATTTATCCAGAAAACATGGACACACCTCATGCGCTCGATGGCGGTTGGCATGTCAGACGGTCTGTATATTTCGTATTTTATGGCTGCACTTTTTGTTTTGAATACTCTAGCGAAAAGGCCATTGAGAATTGTTGATGTGGAATGCGTGTTAGCCTTTATGGGAGATATATGTATGTATGTATGTGTATAAAAAGTTAATAAACTTTTTTCCACGTGACTGAGCAGCCATGGGAATTGAATTTACTCTGAATTTATACAGGGAATTTAGAGCTTATAGCTCTGCGACTGCAGCTATCATGTACTGAAGAGAACTAAAGAAGTATTTTATTTTTAAAAATATATATATATTTTTTTTATAAATCTTCATAATTTACTAAATGTTGCTCAAAAAATTTTTATATATTTTTATTTTATTTTAAATGTTTTTTAATTGAAGAATCAAATTCTTTTAATTTTATTATTATTATATTCTTTTATTAATTGAGTTTATGTTCAATTTAAAAATATACCAATATATTATTTATTTCAGATTTTATTTCAATAGTTTTTATTTATTTTTATTTTTAAATTATGATTTTTATTTTGTTTTTATAGATCTGTGTCTAAACATTATTTTCAATAAAGACCAAGGAATTTCTAAATATTGCAACATATTTTAATATGCTTTCTGATTTGCAATATCATAAACTTACTCCCGTTCACATCGATTCATCAGCTAATGCCACTTAAACTATTGACACATATATGACAGCCAGGGATTAGGCCGCGGTTCATCTGCTCTATATGCACTGCCATCACAAAAGGATATTTAATCTTCGGCAAAGATTTGCTCTACTGTGGCTTACTTTTCCTTTGATTGTACACTTTATGAATCCACTTGTTCAGCCCACACATTCAGTCAGCGCTTCATGCTGTTCGCTGCGGTTGTTTCACCCAAAAAATATGAAGTAGATAAATTGTTTTTTTTTTTTCTCTCATTTTTTTTTTGTTGTCTTTTATTCCCTTTGCACTTTTCATATTGTGCCAACAAAAGCATTTGCCGTATGCGGTTTTTAAATGCTGGCACTACCGCACGTCAACCAGCCCGCTCACCCTCCCCCCACGCCCACGTCCACGTCCACGCTTTTGGCTTCGGCTTTGCAGTGCCTGCAGCAGCGTAAACATCAGCAGCAGCTGCTGCTGTCGTTGCAGCGCTTACCCGTCGAGCTGTGATATTTTTCAATGTTTATTGTTTGCATTCAGTTGCCACATTTTCGCCCTCAACCATTCCCTTCTATACCTATCTCTCTCTATCTCTCTCTCTTAGGCAGCCTTTTTGCCCCACTCATTGGGGGGCATTGAGTAAAATGGATTATTTTCTGTGCGCTCGTCGACATTTATTAATGAAATTTGCAGTGAGCCGCGTTGGCCATTGTCCTGCTGGATTAGTTCTGTAATAAACGCATTTCGCCCAGCTGAACGTTGAGCCAATGTGGGAATTAGCAGATAAAATGTTTTGCGTGAAGACCTTCGAGCAGAGCTCAACGGCATGAGCGAAACGGGTCAGCAGAGGACACGAAATGTGAATAAAACCCGCTAGCGTACAGTCCCAATGTATTTTGCGGCAAATGATTGATTCTGTGCTGATAAACTGTTGATATATTTGCAGTTCACTCTGGCTCGTCTCTCATTTCATTGAGCATTGCGCATTGGAGAGGTAGAGGTAGGAGAGTAATATGCTTTTAGCTGATGGCTTGGCTGTACTTATATATAGTGTGAGCTGAGATTGGCGAAATCAGGTCTGATATATGAACTTCTCTATCAATTTACATTCAGCAGAAAATCTTGTGCCTGGGGAGCCTACATCAAAGACTAGAATTTGAGAGCTCTGATTTAATTTCGAGCCCTGCTTCATTTTATAGAAAACTAACGTGTAAAAATTAAAAAAAAAAAAGGTTTTTATAAGCACAGCGAATTTAAATTTATTAATAGAAAATCAATCTCTGCCCATCGATCAACTTTAGCTGCACTTAAAAATATAAATACAAATACGAATTGATTGATGTGATTTAAGTTCAATTGGTTTGAATGGAAGAGGGAGACAGCTTAAATGCAGCATTAATTTAAATAAAACCATCTAAAACAAATGTACTTCTTCCAACTAATATATCTGCCTACAGTAATTTTCAACAATTACATAGTGCAAATACTCAACTATTCGCAACACTCTCAATTTTCGCTTTATTTGCCGTTCATGAATCATATTCTTCCGTTGTCTCCATAATGAAGCAATAAAATTGCAAATTTCTATAAATTTTGCAATTCAATGGCGAATGCCGCAAATGCCGAAAGCCAAAGCGAATAGCATAAATAAATGCAAAACATGCAGACAGTAAATAGCCAAATGCTTTTGGCCCATAAATCAAAGGCCAACAATGCGCAGCAGCGAAACACAAATCGAATGATTTATATTTGATTATTTCTCTCTTTTCATTTTTTGTGTCTGGCCACTGGGCTATCGCCTTCATCTTTCAGCTGGAACACGACGAATTGACAATAACTTTCAGTTTAATCTGTCGCAGCGGCTGAGGGAGCGAGCGTTTGGCAATGCGGGCTGTCAAAATGAGCATCACGTATACGCCATGTAAAATGCGCAATTCAATTTTGATCTAAGCACGCATTATGCAGCATATTACACATACGCAGCGTGCCCAGCAGAGAAGGCGAGAGAGAGAGAGGAAGTGTGTGTATGAGAAGCCGAATTTAAGGAGGCATGCTAGGCCTCTTTACTACCATATTAACGACTTTTGCATATTGAAAATGTTTTTTCTTGTTTTTTTGGCTGCGCAGAATGTGACAAAGTTCTCGACGACCATTTGCCTGCCTCAGTGCCATGCGAGCTGTCAAAGTTTCTGGCTGCATGCCAACTGCCATGAAGTACACAACATCTACATGTGTGAGCGGGTCTATGTGTATGTGTATGTGTGTGTGTGTGTGTGTGTGTGTGTTTGTGTGTGTCTCATACAGGTAGCTGCAGACGAGGCTTCAATTAAAATGTCCACACAAATTGCTTTTCTGTTTGCATATAAACAGAGCACAGCCAGTCGCTGATGGCTGCCAACAAATCTATGTACACCTTTGCCACCTGTAATCCAGATGATGATGATGATGATGGTGGTGGTGGTGATAATGATGATGATGTGGCTGATGTTCAATAAATTTTGCGAATTTCTGTGGCCTAAACAGCAAAACTTGAGCACAATTTATAGCGCTACATTTGAGTTTCAATTAGCCTACAAATGGCTGCACGGCAAAAAAAAAGGAGAGTGAGGTCTACTAGGTCTATAAGTTAAGTCTATAGCTCTCAGATTGTATTTGAAAATTATCTACATTTTCTGCAAATTCTATACTTGTTCTTTAATTAGTTTAATAAATGGAAAAGAGTATGCTCAGTTTTACGAAAAAAAAGGGAGTGAAGTTATATTTAAACAAATGTAATATTAAAGTTAATTGTATAAGCCATACTTCTCATTTAGTCAGCATAATAAATGAGCAAATTTATAAATTATTTATTTTTCATATGTTGTTAGCTTAAACACGCAATTATAGCCGCATTGTAGCACAGTTAATTTACATAGTTAACACTATTTGTTAGAGTATGTATAGAGAATCGTGCACCAAGTCTAAGCAGACATGCTTGATTTTAGCCTTGAAAGTTTCCTTAGTCTAAGGAAGTTAAGCACTAGGAATTCATATTCTATATGCCCTATAAAAATCAATATTATTGATTAATTATTCACAGAATTTCTCTCAGTGCTTGAGCACTTGTTAGTCAAGCTCTCAGCTATGCCATATGTTCAGTTTAACTTTATGAAGTCAGTTTGTAAAATGTTTTTTAAAGTTTTAAGTTAGTTTGCGCCTCGCCGTCGTTATTGGATTGTTTGTTTGTTGTTTTTCTCTGGATGGTTGGGGCAGCTACTTTGTAATGTAAATTAACGGTTAAATTGTGTAAATTGCGACTGTGGCGAGCGCAGCTGACAAAGCCGAGCAGAAGGCGAGGCGCAGCAAAGGTGGGGCCAGATGCCGAGCTGTCAGTTGCCGCATACAGCTGTAAGCCAAACAAAGGCTCACACGGCACAGACACACACAAGCACACATACATACATATATAGATATATACACAGATACATGTATATACGCACACATTATGCTTGGATTAGTGCGAGTGAAAGTTTATAGCTTGTTGTATTGAATAATTAACTTTTATTGATCGCGATTGCGCACACACACACACACATACACAAGAGCCGCACACACACACATATAGTGCTAGTAGATGCCCCTCACAAGTTTATTAGTTTACAGGCATTGTTTGCACGCCAGTTAGCTGGGCATAAAAGGCTTGTGAATGGCCATTGTTAAAAAGCATTCCCTGATTAAGTATACACACACACACACATATATGTATATACACTCATACATACATACTTATATACATCTTGTTGATTTAGTTGTCTGCGGCTAATAAAGTTAACGTGCGCGCTAAACTGTTTGTTGGCCCTGACTTGCTGTAGTTTTTGGCTCCTCTCATGCCTCGGGTCGCAAGTGCGCTAATTAGCTTTTAAGCTGTCGTCTGTTGTCTTAACTCTCAGCGGCTTTTGCCTTTGGCATGGTTAGATATGCACAGGCAGATTGTAAGATTTGGCTATGAGTGACATGAACTACTTTGGGGACTTGTCCTTATGGCATCTAATGCAAATAATCAATATGGTTTAATTAGTTTTTGATTAGTTTGCGAAGCGTTTAACCAGGATCGATAAACACTGAACTGATTGAGTATAACATGTATAAATAAATTCAATTAGTAGTGTGATGGAGCAAAAGACTGTGAAGGGAATTTGATGGGAACATTAAGTTATTAAACTAGGATCGAAATGTGAAGAACTGATTGATTGAAATATATATGTATATATACATATTAAATATAGAAGTAACTTGCCCAAAGCGAGAGCGACTGAATACGAAGGGTTAAACGTTTAACACTTATTTGGGAGCTTTGTTTTTGCTATATAAAGTGAAATCAATAAAATGTAGTAATTCATGAAAATAGTAGGAATTACTTATTACTTATTACTTACTTAAAAAAGCAAAAAAATCTATATTTCTATAATTTTATATATAATAATTGCCATATATTTTCTTGTCTTATAGTTCTTAACCAATAGTTTGTGGTAAATTAAATATTTTTAATAACAGCTGAGCACATTGTAACATATTTTACTAGAATATATAATATACATATATGCTGAGATCTTTGTCATAACTCTGCTTATCTGTGCTCTTATTAAGCTATATAAAAAGGTAAGCCAAGCTGACAGTATGAGCGACAACTATAATCTTAGCTTTCATCTGTGCTCAATGTCAGACTATATAGTTCCCTTAGTAACTATAGTAACTATAACTATATAGTTCACATAGTAATTTCACATACTATAGCTAATCCTAAAGAGGGCAACGAAAGTTTTAAAAGAGTAAATAAAAGAGCTGAAAGTTGAAACTTGGCTGCAACTAAATCTTTGTCTATGTAATTTTAGCTTGAAGCAATGACTGTGATGAACTTTCAACTTTGCATTTCGAGCTGTTGAGCTCGAAACAAAAGCCTTTGCTTACCACAAATTGATTATAAACTCAGAGCACTGATGCAATGTCGATAGCAAATGAAGGCTGAACCAAGGCTAGGCACTGTAGAAACTAGCTGAAGGTTTATGCCGTCCCCACGTTCACTCACACGATTTAGCTTATGATTATAGAGAGGTAAGCTTAAACGTGAAATTCTTTATGTTAGCTACTTTGTCCTAGTCAAAGAAAATGAACTGCGCTCAGGTAAACCTAGAAAAGTTTGAGCTGCAATTGCGAATTAGTTTCTTAAGCCTGTGCTGATTCAGCTTAAGCATAGATGTAAGCTTTCCACTGCTGGCAGCGAATGCCAACTCGAGCGTGGCTCAGCAAAAGTTGCCAAATATTTGACTAAAACTTGCATTAAGAGTGCGCCGCGAAAGCCGTAAAGCAAATGCTGCTGCTGCTGCAAACTGATTAAATATCCGGCCTACATTCGCCTCGAAGCGCGTTTCTGTATGAGTTCTTGTTAGAGGGAAATGTAATTTGAAGAACAAAACAAACAGCGCGAAGCGACGGCTTAAGCTGGGCCGGGATAAAAGGACGACAGGATGTCGAGCAGGTGGCTGTGCGAAACAAAAGCCGCTCCAGTTTAGCTATTTGCTATTTGCCTCAGTGGCACAGCTGGATATGCGCGACAGGAGTGACTATTGTGCCGCGCCTGGCATGGCAATGCGATTACCCGCAGCGAAATGTTTGCAGCATATGCTGAAATGTAAATGTAGGCAGAGGCAGCAGCTAGATAGATGAAGGCGCATTCGCCACTTACCTCGTAACGTGTGTCGATTTCTGGCAATTTCTCGAGAAACTCTTCAACCATCTTTTGTTGCACGTGCTGCTCGCAAATCAGTTAAGCACACACACACAGATGCACACACGCATAGGTGTGTGTGAGGGTCGAATATGTTAGGTAGATTAATTCGTAATTAAAGCTGAAACACCTGTTGTGATATTTGTCCTCTATTGCTCTATTTGCACTTGATAAAAATTCGTCGGTTTCGGTTTTTATTCAATTTGCACTCTCTGTTATTGTTTTGCCTTCGCCTTTGATTGTCTTTGCCAGGTTTATTGTATATTTTGTGTGTGTGTGTGTGTTTCTTTGTCGTTTTTTTTTTTTTTGTCACTTGGCACTTGATTTCGGGCGCTATTTTTAGCTCACGCACACATACACACACAGAGATACATATGTGTATATTGAGAGAGATGTGAAGATAGCGTCTTATAAACAAGTACGTTCTTTCGATATGCTGTGTGTGCGAGAGATGTGGTTGATGATGATGATGGCAACCAAACGCTGCCCGTTCACCGTTCAGCACTAACAACAAACTGCAGAAAAACAAAACATTTTATAGCCAGGCCGAGGCGATGTGCCGCACGAAGCGACCAGCCCGAGCATCAGCTTGTACTAAAAAGCCACACCAGCAACAACAACAACAGCGCCAAAGATGACAAAATTGAGCAAAACTGGCCAAACAGAAGTTCGACAGCTGCCGACGAGCACACAGCAGCCGAGATAAGAGAAGCAGGAGCAGCAGCAGCAGCAGCAGCAGGAGCGGCAGCTGTGGCCGCAACATTTTGTAGCATACTTCTGAGCGCCGGCGCGCTTTTCGCAGGGGCAACGACTTTCAGCGCTGCTACGACTGCCACTGCTGGCACTGGTGATGCTGCTGCTACTGGAATGTGTACGAGCCATTCGAACTTCACAACTTGACACACATTTAAAGTTTCAATAGCGAGCTTTTCGCGTAAACAGCATCCACGCACTGTATTCCGAATAGAGTTTGTTCCATGTGGAACGTAATTGTTGCTGCAGCTGAAGTTTGTGTTGCTTGACTGCACTTGTAAATAATTTGCAGCTAACGAAGGCGGCGACAACACACTTCAAGCGCTTGCTGTTGTTCTGTGCCACTCGTCTTGCTTTGTTTAAGCCCCAGAAACGGCTAAAACAAATACGCAGTAGCAAGAACAAAACTAAAAGTAAATCTCAATTGGCTTACCGAACCCATTTTGCAGGCAACTAGTCGACAAAAACAAACAATCCAACGGCAGCAATTCAAGAAGCCTTGTCCTGTTTCTGATGTCCACACGCGCTGACCAATGAGCGCACACTGAACCACGCTGGACATGCAACAATTTGCGGCAAATAGACAGACATCGTCATTAGCACTGTGAAAGGGCCAAAGGACGTCACACTCTAGCAATTGTGGGTGTGTGGGGCCTATCACCGTCAAATAGGCGGGGGAAGAAAAAAACTAAAGGAAAACCTTTGGCGCATGCACTCCAAATCGTGTGCTTAAAATAAATACACACATGCGGCCAATGTCAAAGTTCGAGTGTTTGTTCAACGTGGCGCATTGAGGAGATAAGCTGATATTTTTCGCATGTCCTTGAGTGCAGCTGTTTCGATTTCAAGCGCTGTTTTAATAATTCATAAGTTTTGTCATTTGTCAGACTTTTTGCAAACAGCAATTAGTATTAGCTTGTTGATTGTACGTTAATTTGTTATGGCTTTTTAAGCAAAGTTGAATATAATAAAATTCAAATATGCCCGCTTTCAGTAGCCGTATGAAAGCTGAATGCTACGAAACTCAGGTTTCCAATGACATACATATGATGAGCAGTTGCAGCCTTGCCATGAGCTTTGAAATAGAATTTAGAGGTTTTAATGAAAATGAAACTGCTTTGCAGCTGAAACTTATAGCACACTGCTTTATCATCTCTAAGAGAAGAAACAATCTGCTTTGCTATTCACACATGCGCACCAGAAAGCTAAATGATATGACACTCATTCTAAGAGCAACAAAGCAGCTCATCATTTTTCAACTGCTTTGCGCTTTGCCCTTCTGCCAAGCAGCTCAATTAAACAAATTCAACATTTTGTACGTTTTTTATATCGTTTACATTGTACAATTTGTAAGTTTTGTTTCTTTATTTTCGTTTTATATATACACATATATGAGTATGCATGTATGTATATAATTTTTGACAAACTTGAACATTTAGTTAATTTCATTTAGACATTTATAAATTTCATTTGTTACAAATTTTTCATATATATTTGTTGTCATTTCTCATTTTCCTTCGTTCTCATTTTGATATTTGTGTTAATGTTCCTGGCTTAAATGTTCCCTCTTTTGACTCACTTTTTCATTTGTATTTCGTTCATTTTTGTTTTTTTGTTCTATTCAATTAAATAATACAAAAAAATTAGATAGTTTTACTTTTTGCTATAGACGAATACAAAAAATACATCATAGGTAAATTTTCATTTGATTCACTAAGTACGTTCAACAGATTTCACATGCCATTATATATATGTATATATATCTTCTTTTTTTTTGTCTATCATTTATACAAAATAAGTTAAACAATTTTATTTTGATCAGACCAAACATTTGCAGTTTTGTCATGTTTTACAATTATTTCTCATTTATATTCGGATTAAAAGTTTTCGGTTTTTTGTTTTTGCTATATATTTCTTAAGATTTGTGCATATGCGAATGTTTGTATGTATGTATGTGTGTGTTGTTTGTATTTATCACCCAGAGAGGCTTTTGTATTCTATAAATGACTTATCGTTATGCTTCAGTTATATATGCTATCAAATATGATATATACGAATGATTGTAGGCAGGTGGTTGGTGGTTTACTTGACTTGCAATGTTTATCAACTTCTTCTTATCATCATCCTCCCCCTTCTAATCATCTTCAACTATCAAATGCTAACTAAGTTAAATAACTAATAAACTAAACACTAGAGTCTAGATTAACAGCTTAATTAAGTATCTAGAGAGAGAGAGACGAACCCTGAATACAATGCAAAGAGAATTAAAAACAGCCAAAACAAATTCCCCATATATATTTAAAGCTAGCTGAGGCCCGTCTCCGGGCCGACATCCGCCTCCAGTTGCACAGTTGTATAGTTCTGTGCCACATGCAACTGCCACAAGCTGTTCACCTGCTCCGGCGAGATGCTGTGCCACGTGAACAGAAACTCTTGCTGCCTCAAATCACTCTCGCCGCTCAGCAAACGCTCACAGTCCGTCTCATAGAGCACATACGGCTGCAGTGTGGTTATCGTTGTATTTGTACGCTGTGCGAGGACCCCAGTGATATGCACATCATCTACCCAGAAGTAGTTGCTGTGCTGCGCCGCCTGGTACAGACGCTGCACCACATCCGGCGAATAGACGATCGCAAAGCCCGGACAGTACGGCGGATAATAATGGGCGGGATATTCTCGAAAACTGACGCGCCACTTTGACTGTGAAGAAAAGAGAGAGAAAGATTTGTGTGAGTGTTGAGTATTTCGAAGATGTTAGTACTAAAGCTCAACACTAGATGGGGTTTATTGATTGTTCATATGTTTTTTACTTGGATAAGGAATAAAGCAAATAGAGCATAAATTTGGCTAAATTGATTAAGTAAACAAGGTTCTAATAATGCAGAGCTTCCGCTCTGATGCGTGACAGGAAGTTGTTGCTATGCTTAATGGAGCTTAGGAACAACTCAAGTCTTATATAATATTTAATCTACCTATTGAGTAGAGTAAAAGCAACATAGGTAATATCGGTATAGTTGGGTAGAACTTGTGACAAGATAATAGAATGTATCCAGATTAAGTCACGCTTTATAGAGATCATGGATAAATAAACTTTATCAAATGAAGAGATGAACCCTTAGCTAACATTCCATTTATGAAGATATCAGGTTAATTATGCTTTGTTTAATATAGCCGAAAAGGCATTTGGATGGATATCATTCCAGACTTTTTAGAAAACTGAGGCTAATATAAGGAAAGGCTTATGATATATGAAAGAACTTGTTCAAATTTTGATCCTACAATGATACCAGTCAATAGCAACTTTTAGGTATACCTATAAGTCTTACTTCGTCTCTTTCACTCTCACTTATACTCACCCTATAGGAGCGCTTCACTCGCGACTTGAGCACAGGCTTGCAGAAGAGCAGCTCGTGCGGTTGCTGCAGCAGCGAACGCAGCGACTGCGTTCGATTCAAGCTGGGCTGGGGCGTTTGTTGTTGCTGTTGCAGTTGCAACGGCTGCGGTTGCTGTTGCTGCTCACGCAGCAGCTTGTGCAATTGCGGTGTATTCACATAGACATCGTCGTCCACCTTGATGAGCAGCTGAGCGTGCGAGCAGTGGCTGTTGAACCACTTGAGTGCCATCACATGTTTGTAGGTCATGTTGCGGTAGGCATCCTGGAAGTTGCCCTGCACCATATCCCCGAATCGAGCATTCTCCTGCTCCAGTGAATATTGCAGTTCTGGCTCCGTTGGGGGCACGGCTCCCAAAAGGAAGACGACGCGCAGTGGCGACGGCGACGGCGACGTCGACGCCGACGGCGCTGCTACTGTGGCCAAGCCGCCCCACGTTTGGCGTATGAGCAAACGTTTCTCGGCATTCCGCGGCGCCGTATGAACCAAGATCAGAGCCAGAATGTGCGGCTCACATGCAGGCTGCTCCATCAGATAGCCAAAGTGATGCAGATCGATCAGCTGGCTGGCATCCGATGGCTGATGCGACGGCTGGAATGATGTAGCTGCTGTGGGCGATGGCACGGGCGTCGCCGCATTATCTAGACTAACTAGGCTAGGGCTATAATAATAATAATAATTAGAATAACTACTAAGGTTGCTATTAAGTGGCTGAGTGCGACTAGGGTCGTGTATTATTTGGTTTGGTTTACTGCCATTGGCACTCGATTGCAGTTGCGGCTGTTGCTGCTGGGATGTTGCTGCTGCAGCTGGCGGTGGCTCATCTGTGATTGTTCGCCAAATAAACAGAAAGCAGCAGAAGAAGAGTATGCCTAAGTAACGTTTAGACATGTTGTTGTTGCTTCTGTTGCTCTTGTTGTTGTTGCTGCTACTGCTGCTGCTGCTGCTGCTGCTGCTGCTGCTGCTGTTGTTGTTGCTTGTGGCACGATTAACTACTGCAGCCATTATAGTGCACCACCGGAGCTTTCACTGCTTTCTGGTTGCACCTCAAACGGAAGCGTTTTCTGCGTGGCTTTGCCATTTAATTGACAATTGACGTGGCTGCAAAAAAAGGAGGAAATTGATAACAATTATTAATGGAATAAAAATACAGTGAAGACTGCCTAAGAGATAATTTACATTGACAGAGCTGCGAATTCCTATTAGCTAACTAACTTTTAGTTTAGTTTTTTGTATTAAAAAAGTATTACCGAAGAGTACCAAATTTCATGTCCACTTTAGTCGGACAATACTGTAATTATATTAATTTTTTTTGTTCCATCGCCATCAGTCAGCGATTTATCTGCAATGCGCGCACACAGGTGCGAAGAATAAACAGTAATTTAATTGAGCACGCCATGACCTAAGCAGGCAAAAGCGAGCGGGCGCTTAGGGTAGGAGAACTACACACACACACACACACAGACACAGACACATATGAGAAACAAGTTAATTTTTCTCTAACTGTGTTGGCAACTGGCGAAAGGACGTGCGCTTAGCGAGTCCGAGCGAGTGAGTGAGCGAGCCACGGGCCAAGAGTTCGAGTCGAAGTTCAATTTAATGACCCACTCCCCGTTATTGATAGCTGCGCACAGTGCTGCGCAACTTAGCTGTTTTCTAGCCAAAGTTGTAAGTCAGAAATAATGAACTGTAAGACAATTATAAATAAAATGTACTATTAAATATATTCAAAATAATAAAATACGTTTATTATAATATAAATAAAAAATATTATATATATACAAAAAAAATGATTTTTTTTATCAGTTTTATTAAAAAAAAAAATATTAAAAAAAAAATAAATAAAAAATTATATTACAAAAAAATAAACATATTATATAAAAAAAAAAAAAAATATTATAAATTAAATGAAAAACTATTAAAAAATATATATATATTTCCTTCAAGAAAACCCACTCTGAAACTAAAGTAAAACGACTTTCTTGAAAAAATGCAAACAAAATTATTTTTACTTTTTTCTTGACCATGCAACACATTTTCTTAAAAAGCCTTAGACATAAATACAAATAGTACTTAGGTGACTCAGAATATTTAACAGATAAAAGAACTCCATTGTTTAGTCCGAAAATTTGCCATAAAATGCTTTAATCACGTTGTATTTTTACCTCTTGCTTTTTCATTAAATTCGATTGATGATAAGTGTAATCAATGAAATGCCCATTGGTTATGTCAAAATTTATGCACCATTTAGTTAACATTGGCCTATCATACGATAATGTCGTTGACATTCAATTATAGATATGCTGGCATACCACCTGTCATAATAAATGTATGGGCCAAATAGACACCTGATGGATTCCAGCCTCGAGTGACTGCGCTAACAGCGAATGCGGTCAAACGCACTTCATAACCCTCTTAGGGAATACGCTCATTATCAGCTTGACGTGGTGCGCTTATCGCAACAATTCGAGGCACATTTAGATACGAGAGTTTAATTTTTATATACATATATTTTCTTTTTTTGGTAGCTCGTGTCAGATTAAAATGCAATAATCAATCGACGCATATCTGTTAACAGTTTTCCGTGAATTTGAGCATTATATACACTAGCATTTAAGCTATATTGGAAGCATTTCAAGGCAAAACTAAATTTAGCTGTTTATTAAACGGAATAAAATAATTTGTAGTCTGCTTTAATTATAGAAATTTTTTTAAAATTTTTATATTTGCTTTTCTTATAAAATATGCGGCAAAATAAATAACTATGTTAAATATTTTTTTATTTATTAATTTTTGTTTTATTTTTATTTATATATATGTATATATTTTTTTTTGTGAAGTGTGAAAAAGAGAAATGATTTAAAAATCAACTGGCAACTGATGCCAAAAATATTGTATACTCAATCAATTTACATACGCATATATGTATCATGACTGGGGCTCAATCGCAAGCTCGACTTCGCTTATTTGGAGCTATTTTTGCCCTCAATTTCCGGCAGGCTCTTTAAAACTTTAATATTTTATTCAGGTTTGAGAAGCACGTCTACAACATGTTGCCACAAAAGGCGGCCGCAGCTGCACAGACAGTCACGTAACTGCAACTTTACGCACACACACACACACACACACACACAGATACAAGCATTGGCTAAGTGTAATTGAAATTTGCGGTGTCTGCATTCTTAAGCAATTGCAATGTAATTTACTACACATAAACATAAGTATGTATGTACGTATACATATATATTGATTCATTACTGACTGATTGAGTGACTAACATATTGACGTTTAGCTAAAAATAAGCCAAGTTCTTTACTCCAAGTGCATAAATTTCTTCTTTTTTATGTGAATATATATGTATATTGGTGTGTGCTTATCAGTGTGCGTGTATATGGCTATTATAATTTATACACACTTACAGCAAACACATGGGAGTCGAATCAAATGTAGGCTCTGGTAATGCCCTAACTATGATTCAATTAATCAGATTCAGTTACAGTGGAATCCGGACATAAGGACGCTCAAGGGACGTTGCTACACCCGGGGGACGCTTAAACCAGATGGTTTTTTCTTTTTTTGCGGTTGCCAGCAGACAATTTAAATTTTTAATCAACATACAAACATTTTATAAATTTACTCCAATAAAAATGGTATACAAACACTTGTGTGACGTCGGCATTGCACTTTGTCTCCCTCTCTCTGTTATTTTTAATATTTACAAGGGAAACACAAGCTTATTCCAAAAATGAAATGACATGAATACTGTGGATAATTCGTCAGAAATAAACGGGCGTGTTCCCGAGGTTTGCCAGAGCGATAAGATAAATGTAAATCGATAAGTGATAAGATAAGCCATATCAAGTGTAGAATCTATTGCCTAATTACGGTTAGGCAATAAACCCTTACCGCATCACATATTGCCAACTGAAAGCCATTTGCCATTCGAGTTGGTCTGACGGCAAATATAGGAAGTGCAGATCAATATTGACGCCGCAGTTGCTGTTGCTGTCGTCGTTATTAGAGTCGGGGGGGGGGGGGGGTTTTTTTTAACCGTTACAAAGTTCATGGCAAAGGTTATTAAAGGAGCGAAAAATGAACCAAACCGAAGGTGGAAAGCGCCAGCGGGACGGCCGCATTGACGGCAATAAAATTTTAACATTCATGTAAATGCGTTCAGAGTCGGGTCGCAGGGGAGCCGGGGGCGGGTGGGGAGCAAGCGCCACATAGCCATATACCTATGTACAAGGGTTGCCAGGCTGTCGGGTGCGACGGAGCATGGCATAGGGCGCCTAGACACGCAACACTACTGCCACGCCCCAACCCGGTGGCCAGGACACGAGAGCGGGCTATACAAGAAGTAGCAACAACAGCAGCCCAACAACAAGCTGCATATAAATTCACTTAAGCCATGACGTCAGCGGAGAACGAGAGAGAGAGAGAGAGAGAGAGAGGGAGGTAAGAGAGACAACTGGTGTCGGCGACTGCAACTGAAAACTTGCAGTTTGCAAGACAAAATGCACTGGCAGCATATTGTAATATATATAGCACAGTATAGCCTTCCTCACGTTTAAATAATGCAATTTTAACTAATATAAACTGATATATAGGAAATTTCATAGCATTTGAATTTAACAGAAAATGAATAGGGATTGAAATGGATCTATATCTGTATCTGTATCTATATCTATATCTATATCTATATCTATATCTATATCTATATCTATATCTATATCTAT